TTACTAAAGTCTAGGTATACCACATCCACAGCTTCTCCCTTATCCACTCAGTCCTACTTCTTGTTCAGCTAATCGCTAAGAGAAACAAGTTTGTTTTCATTTATAGGAGATACCGCTGCCTGCTTCTTATTTACAAAGTCACCTGAAAGTGAGAACAGGCATTTGCATGGCACATTTGTAGCTGGCATTGCAAGGTATTTACATGCCAGATATGCTAAACATTCGTATGCCCCTTCATGCTTTGGCCACCATTCCAGAGGACATGATGACACTCATTAAAAAATAATGTGTTAATTAAATTAGTGACTGAACTCCTTGGGGGAGAATTGTATGTCTCTGGCTCTGTTTTACCTGCATTCTGCCATATATTTCATGTTATAGCAGACTCGGATGATGACTCAGCAAATGTTGTTCATTTTAAGAACACTTTCACTGCAGATTTGACAAAATGCAAAGAAGGTACCAATGTGAGATTTCTAAAGATAGCTACAGCACTCGACCCAAGATTTAAGAATCGAAAGTGCCTTCCAAAATCTGAGAGGGACAAGGTGTGGAGCATGCTTTCAGAAGTCTTAAAAGAGCAACACACCGATGCGGAAACTACGGAACCCGAACCACCAAAAAAGAAAATCAACCTTCTGTTGGTGGGATCTGACTCAGATGATGAAAATGAACATGCATTGGTCCGCACTGCTTTGGATCGTTATTGATCAGAACCCGTCATCAGCATGGACGCATGTCCTCTGGAATGGTGGTTGAAGCATGAAGGGACATATGAATCTTTAGCATATCTGGCACGTAAATACCTTGCAACGCCGGCTACAACAATGCCATGAGAACGCCTGTTCTCACTTTCAGGTGACATTGTAAACAAGAAGCAGGCAGCATTATCTCCTGCAAATTGTAACCAACCTTGTTTGTCTGAGTGATTGGCTGAACAAGAAGTAGGAGTGAGTGGATTTGTAGGCTTTACAGTTTCACATTGTTTTATTTTTGAATGCAGTTATTTTTAGTACATAATTCTACGTTTGTATGTTCAACTTTCATGATAAAGAGATTGCACGACAGTACTTGTATGAGGTGAATTGAAAAATACGATTTCTTTCTTTTTATAGTGCAAATACTTATAATAAAAATAAATATAAAGTGAGCACTGTACACTTAGTATTCTGTGTTGTAACTGAAATCAATATGTTTGAAAATATGGAAAACATCCACAATATTTATATAAATAGTATTCTATTATTGTTTAACAGCACGATTAATTGCATGATTAATTGCAATTAATTTTGTTAATCGCTCAATTAATTGTGATTAATGTTTTGAATCGCTTGCCAGCCCTAGTAACAATGTCAGTGCACTTATCTGTCTTCTTTACAGTGGCTGAGTGGTGCAGTACCAAACCCCCATAACACAACAAGGGTCAATGCAATAGCGTCCATAAATGCAGTGAAGCTGGGAGTGAGTTGAGTGACAAGGCAGAGGGCGGGATCAACACACCCGTGGGTGACCCCCAGGCTGGAGCCCGTCCCCCTGCCCTACCTGTAGGAAGCGGATGAGGTAGCAGAGCACCATTTTGTTGATCCTGGGCAAGGAGTGGATGACTGCGATGGCTGCCTCTGGGTTCTCGTAGTGGGTGATGCACTGTTCGTAGAACTCGTGGGGAATCAGCGGCTCCTCCAGCTCCCGGTACCAGAGCTTCAGCAACGACGCTGCGGAGAGGAGACAAGTAGCAGAGCTCGTGTTAGGTTAAAAAAGAGAGATGCAGAGCTGAGTGTGCAGGGATGGGGCAGGGTGCTGGGTGGAGTGGGGCAGGGTACGTGGGAGTGTGGGGCAGTGTGCATGGGGGAGTGCACCAGGCAGTGGAAGCCCTGATCCAGCAAATCTGACTCGGGCAAGCTTTGATGTATCCGGGGTTCTTAGAGAGTCTGGAGTGCCGGCTGCGCCCCTGCATCTCACTCCCCTTGGACAATGACAGCAGCCTAGTCAGTTTCACTCTCTGCTTCTCCCCCACCTCATCCCAGGTGGAGGCCTGTCCCGGCATGACAGTGCCGTCATTTCCATGTCCCCATGGAGCCAGCATCTTGACACATGGCAGGCGCTCCCAGGCCATGTTGATCTCCGACCGACCTTCCCATCACAGTCACCAACCTGCCTCGGGATTTCAACCGTTCAACTTTCTACATACAGCTTTGAAATCTGACCCATTTGTTCCTTATGGGCCCCCGAGTTCAGGTGAGGTGGGGGGGGAGGAGATTTGGCATTTCTAGGGCCCCTGATTATAGGGTGAGGCGGGGGAGGGGATGTAGCATTTCTATGGGCCCCTGGTTACGGGGTGAGGCAAGGGAGGGACTGTGGTGTTTCTATCAGATCCCCAGGAGGACGACAGCTTATCAATGCACAAAGGTTCTTGGAGTTATGGCCATCTGAGAGCACTGGCTCTACCCAATGATTTCAGCCAAGAAGCCATTGGCAGCTAGTGAGCGAGCCCCAGTGCTCACAGGCACCTCGCCCCAATGTGCAGAGGGCCGGCCGGCCGCTAGTCATCCTCGGTGTAAACGCAAAGGCAAGGCATGAAGCGACTGGCAGGAGGCTGAAGGGAGCCTGCTTCCACCGGTGCTGTTTTGGTTTGGTTTAGAGTCCTGCACTGGGCACCAACTGGCAGGAAGCGTCGCTGCTTAGAGAGCGATCGATGCTGCACCCTTGGGAGAGAGCACGCATCCGTAGCCCAGTGGGGAGAAGGGTTCTGGGGGAGCGTGGCAAACAGCTCTTCCAGGAATCTAACCGGCTGCTCGCCCCAATGCTGCTTGTGTACTCTGTTGCATTTCGCTCCACTTGGAAACTAGGCGGGTCACCTTCCCTTTGGGGGCCAGATCCTCAGCAGGAGTCAGTGAACCTCCCCTGATCGACACCGGCTTCTGCTTCTCACCCACTCCTTCAAGGCTGTTGGGTTTGTGTGATGGCTCCCTATTAGGGGTCATGAGCAAGAACTGAACCCAGGACTTTCAGTGCTAACTCCAGGAGCCTCTGCCACTTGAGCTAAAGGAGCACGTCCATTAACAGGTCACAGTAGTAGGCTCTTATCCTTTTATATGGAGCACTCACTAGTGGGGAGAAGCAAAACCAATGAGCTGATTATATTTGTGTTTCCCAGCACTGCAGGTGAGAGGTTTAAATCCACCACTCCGTTCCCAGTGATATTTATCACCTCTCCCCCAGGCCCATTTCTATTCCTGTTTGGCTCTGGCAAGCCCACGGTTTCTATAAAGCAAACACTTGGTTTGACAGCACCAGCCCCTCTTCAGCTCACAGAACCAGACCCTCAGTCGTGCATCTGCACCCACCCACGTTAGAGAGAGGAGATGGTTTCCCAGCGCACTCGCTGATCCATTTCCTGCAACCAGCCCATTGCAGAGCTAACAATGCAGAACAGCGTCATCTACTCAGAGCGCAGCAATTACAGCCACGGCAGGTTTCCGGAGGAACCGCAGCAGCTGCAGGAAAACGTCGCTCTGGGCAGCGCAGGGAGCAGCAAAGCACCGGCCACAGACGGGCACTGGCACAACCAGGTGGATTTTGTCGGCGGTGCGTATCGAGGCACAAAGCCCTGGAACTGGGTCACACAGCCTCAGGGCAAGTGGAAGCTGAATGACAGCCAGAGAATATGGGAGACGCAGGGGAAGGAGACAGGTAGAGCCTCTGTGTCAGGGCTCTGGACTGGTCAGGAGTCATGCAATGAACAAAAGAGGCAGCAGTGCAAAAAACCCATGACTCGACCCCATACAGATGCCAGGGGCCAGCCCTAACCGGGGCACCAGCAGCACAGATTCATCCTCCTACGCGGGCACCACAGCGAGGGGCAGCTGTGCTGTGAGGGAGTCTGCTACGTCATCGCAGAACCAGGATCAGCCAGGGGCGGGGCCCCAAATCCACACGAACCCAAAACCTACTCGCACAAAAGCAAATGAGAAAAGATGGCGAATGGAAATCCAGTTTCTATTTTGCTTAAAGGGCTGAGAATAATCTCCACTGCCTTTCAGCCAACTCCACTCACCGCTGGGCCGGGCCGGGGCTGGCATGGGAGACGCCAAGGAAGTGCATTGGTAAGCAGTATTTGGCAGAACAGGCCTTTGGCCAGTGAGAGAGATGCTCAAACAGGGTCGGTAACATGGCGTTCTCCTGCCATGGGACAAGGAGCTTATCAATCATAGAATCATAGAACTAGAAGGGACCTCGAGAGGTCATCTAGTCAAGTCCCCTACACTCAAGGCAGGACTAAGTATTATCTAGACCAGAGGTGGGCAAACTATGGTCTGTGGGCCACATCCGGCCGCGGGACCCTCCTGCCCGGCCCCTGAGCTCCTGGCCACGGAGGCTCGCCCTTGGCCCCTCCCCTGCTGTTCCCCCTCCCCCACAGCCTCAGCTCACTGCACCGTCGGCGCAATGCTCTGGGCAGCCGGGCAGCGCAGCTGCAGAGCCGTGGCCTGACTCGGTGCTCTGGGCGGTGCGGCTGTCGTGCCGCCAGCCATCGGTGCTCCAGGCAGCGTGGTAAGGGGGAAGGGAGCGGGGGGGTTGGATAGAGGGCAGGGGAGTTCGGGGTGGTGGTCAGGGAGCAGGGGTGTGGATAGGGGTCGGGGCAGTCAGAAGGCGGGGAACAGGGGTGGTTGAATGGGGGCAGGGGTCCCGGGGGTGCAGTCAGGAAGGAGGGGGGATGTTGGATGGCGTGGCGGGGGGCAGTCAGGGGACAGGGGGTGGTGGATGGGGTAGGAGTCCCGGGGGGGCCGTCAGTGGGCGAGAAGCAGGGAGGGTCAGATAGGGGGTGGGGGCCGGGCCACGCCTGGCTGTTTGGGGAGGCACAGCCTCCCCTAACCGGCCCTCCATACAATTTTGGAAACCCGATGTGGCCCTCAGGCCAAAAAGTTTGCCCACCCCGATCTAGACCATCCCTGACAGGTGTTTGTCCAACTTGCTCTTAAAAATCTCCAATGATGGAGATTCCACAACCTCCCTAGGCAATTGATTCCAGTGTTTAACCACCCTGACAGGAAGATTTTCCTAATGTCCAACCTAAACCGCCCTTGCTGCAATTTAAGCCCATTGGTTCTTGTCCTATCCTCAGAGATTAAGGAGAACAATTTTTCTCCCTCCTCCTTGTAACAACCTTTTATGTATTTGAAAACTGTTATCCTGTCCCCTCTCAGTCTTCTCTTCTCCAGACTAAACAAACCCAATTTTTTCAATCTTCCCTCATAGGTCCTGTTTTCTAGACCTCTAATCATTTTTGTTGCTCTTCTCTGGACTTTCTCCAATTTGTCCACATCTTTCCTGAAATGTGGCGCCCAGAACTGGACACAATACTCCAGTTGAGGCCTAATCAGCACGGAGTAGAACGGAAGAATTACTTCTCGTGTCTTGCTTACAACACTTCTGCTAATACATCCCAGAATGATGTTTGCTTTTTTTGCAAAAGCGTTACACTGTTAACTCATATTTAGCTTGTGATCCACTATGACCCCAGATCCCTTTCTGCAGTACTCCATCCTAGGCAGTCATTTCCCATTTTGTATGTGTGCAACTGATTGTTCCTTCCTAAGTGGAGTACTTTGCATTTGTCCTTATTGAATTCATCCTATTTACTTCAGACCATTTCTCCAGTTTATCCAGATCATTTTGAATTTTTATCCTAGTCTCCGAAGCACTTGCAACCCCGCCCAGCTTGGGATCATCCACAAACTTTATAAGTGTACTCTCTATGCCATTATCTAAATCACTGCTAAAGATATTGAAAAGAACCGGATCCAGAACCGATCCCTGTGGGACCCCACTCATTATGCCCTTCCAGCATGTCTGTGAACCACTGATAACTACTCTCCAGGAATGATTTTCCAACCAGCTTTGCACCCACCTTATAGTAGCTCCATCTAGGTTGTATTTCCCTAGTTTGTTTATGAAAAGGTTATGTGAGACAGTAACAAAAGCCTTACTAAAGTCAAGATACACCACGTCTACTGCTTCCCCCCATCCACAACGCTTGTTACCCTGTCACAGAAAGCTATCAGGTTGGTTTGACACGATTTGTTCTTAACAAATACATGGTGACTGTTACTTATCACCTCATTATCTTCTAGGTATTTGCAAATTGATTTCTTAATTATTTGCTCCATTATCTTTCCGGATACAGAAGTTAAACTGACTGGTCTGTAATTCCCCGGGTTGTCCTTATTTCCCAGTCTTCTGGAATCTCTCCCATCTTCCATGACTTTTCAAAGATAATAGCTAATGGCTCAGATATCTCCTCAGTCAGCTCCTTGAGTATTCTAGGATGTATTTCATCAGGTCCTGGTGATTTGAAGACATCTAACTTGTCTAAGAAATTTTTGACTTGTTCTTTCCCTATTTTAGACTCTGATCCTACCTCATTTTCACTGGCATTTACTATATTAGAGGTCCAATCGCCACCAACCTTCTTGGTGAAACCAAAACAAAGAAGTCATTAAGCACCTCTGCCATTTCCACATTTTCTGTTATTGTCTTTCCCCTCACATTGAGTAACTGGCCTACTCTGTCCTTGGTCTTCCTCTTGCTTCTAATGTATTTGTAGAATGTTTTCTTGTTACCCTTTATGTCCCTAGCTAGTTTGATCTTGTTTTGTGCCTTGGCCTTTCTAATTTTGTCGCTACAGACTTGTGTTATTTGTTTACATACATCCTCTGTAATTTGACTGAGTTTCCATTTTTTGTAGGGTTCTTTGAGTTTTAGATCATTGAAGATCTCCTGGTTAAGCCATTAATAATGTTCTTCTTTCTAAGCTACTCTTTCCCCCTGAGAGACAAGCTGTGGGGTTTTATGGACACAGTCAGACACTGGTCCTGCAAACAGATTTAGGATTTACTGGCTAACCCTGCAGGGGGAGAAGGCTGGTCGGAAAAACAGTGTCACAGAAGCCTTCTGCTGTCTGCTCCCAACCTACACTCTCCTCCCTGAGCGGCTGCTCCAAAGGGAATTGGCAGGGTAAGTGGGCACTCTGCAAACATGGCACTGGAGAGACATTGTTTGCTGGGAGTCCATCCAGGTGAATCCCTTACAGCCAGGAGTCAGACTCCAGTGAACTAAAGGAGGAAGAATTAACTTGTGCTTAAGGCACAACTGGGAGCCAGGAGACCTGAGTTCTAGCCCGGGATCTGCCACAGCGTGAGCAGGTTACTTAGAGTCCAATCCTGCCTTTGCCACGGGCTGAATTCCCACTGGAGGGGAGAAATGCTCCCTCTGCAAAGAGCCTGCAGGCTCAGGTCCTGGCTGGTTGTTGCCTCAGTTTCCCCATTTGTCAAATGACACTGACCAGCTCTCAGCAGGGGGTTCATCCCTGGAAAGGAAGGTGCAATGTATCAATGAAAATGCTGGGCTGGGAGTATGAGACCAGTTTGCCTCAAAGGTAAATTCACTCCAGGACCCTGCATGGCAAGAGGAGTTGTTTGGTGTCATTCTTCTTTGGACCTTTACATTAATACCCAGTAACCTATAGATTCAGCCGCAGCTTCTGACCCACTGTGGGCTGCCTGCTGCTGTGGGATGCTGGTAGTGGTGCCATGCCCAGTACCTGACAGGACGGGCGCTACACAAAACAGCGGCCATGGGCAAACTTTGCCAAGTGAGGGCTGCACTGGGAGCTTACTGGGGATGTCAGGGCCTGACCCTTGTACCCAGGCTCCCATGGCACCAGGCTGGGGTAATTCTTTGCAGACACATCCGGAAGAAACACTGCCCCGAAGCTTGCCCACCACACGGCATCTCCCAGGATGATTTCTCCCTCTCAGTCCCCATCTGACCGTGTCTCAGTGGAGACGCGGCACCAGCATTTGTTCTGTGTGCACGGATGGGCCACCTGATGGCGAAGCAGCCTGCTGATGCAGGTGTGCTGCTCTTTCTCGGCTCTGCGCGCTGCGGACGGCCCCTAGGCGTTGGCTGAAATGATTTGTCAGACTCAGTGCGCAGCCTGGGCGTGACGGGGCTGTGACAGGATACCCGAGCGGGTCATTATCTGCAGCAGCAGGACACAGCTCTGTGTGGCTGCGATGAACCGAGGTTCACCAGCATGCAAGCAAAGATGGCTCCATCTTGGGCTGCTGGGTGCCATCTGGGGTGTTCCCATTAAACAATCGGGATCAAGGTGTCCTTCCTGCTGGCTGCGCGACACTGTTAAATGAGCAGCCATCAGTCACTACTGACCGGCATCGCCGGAGCCCATTTACTGGCTAGCAGAGACACGGACGAGAGTGATGTGACTGTTTGTTTGTGTGGCACTGAGGATAGCGGGTCTGATTGCTCCGGGAGGCAGCTCCCCAGCCAGCTAGGGCCTTAATGATCCAACCCAATAGAACCCAGAACAATGCGTCACTTGCTTGCTGCAAAATGCATCACTTCACACACAAGCTGGTGCAGTGCCCAGCTTAGAACAACGCATTGCAAGTCTAATCTCAAAGCAACAAACGCCAGGATGATGGCAGCCGAGAGGGAATCTCAAAGCACTTCCCCCACCACTGAAATGCAGCCAGCTCTGGGGTGGAACATGACAGCTGTTTAAGAACATGAATCGATGCCATCCAGCATTTCGGGGCAGGAAGTGAAAGAGAATCCTGCACCCAAATGGCAGGGAGGATGTAGGAAGCAGAATGGAATGAGACAATTTGGAATTTGGCCAGGATGGCAGGGTTCACATTCCAGTTCATGGGAAAATGGTCTTTAGTGAGTACGGAAACGCAGTATTCACTGTCATACAAACGAACTAAGGCAACGACAGGATTTGCTCTTCAATAGACATAACGCCTTTTAAACACAAATCTCTTAGGAACTCTCTAGATAGGCTTTTGTAACTATAACATGGCGAGCCGGTGCGACAACTTCTTCTGTGCCGAAGGAGCAAATTCTTTCTCCAGGACCCTCTGTGCAGCTGGGAGTCGAGAGAAGTAGCTACAAGCAATGTGGGAAGGCTGCCTCCAAGGGACTGAAATAAAAACCAAGGAAACAAAGGATTCCCGGACGACTCCCCTTACCCCACCCAGAGAAAGCCCAGGCATCGCAGGAAGCTATATTTATGACTCAGTAGGGGTCACTCTCCCCTCTTAGTCAGTACAGGCCCCACTGCCCCAGCACAACGCTAGGGGGTGCTGTGGTACAAAGAGAGGTGTGGATGATTTAGTATGGGGTGCTCTCTTCTCTGAGTCAGTAGTGTATTGATACCTCAGTGTGATGCTAGGGGGCGCTGTGCTACTGGGGTGTGTGTGTGTCTTTTTTCAGATGAGGCATATATCGTAGGTCAGGGGTCCCCAACGCGGTGCCCGCGGGTGCCATGGCGCCCGCCGAGGCATCTAAGTGCGCCCACGTACTGGCTGGTGGACGAGCATCTGCCAAAATGCTGCCGAATTTCGGCGGCATTTCGGAGGCGACGCCTCTGGATGCTGCTGCTTGTTGGTGGCATTTCGGCGGATGCTCGTCCGCCGCCACGGTCCGTGGCTTGTCGTCTGGCGCCCGCCAGATGAAAAAAGTTGGGGACCACTGCCCTAGGTGCTGTCCACTTGTGCTCATTTGGCATCCCAGAGCACTGTTCACTAGAGTCATTCATCCTGGTTCGTGGGAAAAGTCTCCCCTGGCAGTGTCAGCTGCATACGGGGTTCTTCACTTTCTCTCCTACACACCCTGTGTAGCCTTTGCTGGTAGAGAATGTGCTGCCACGCTCAGCCCAGAGGTGGCTGCATTGCAGCGGCAGGTGAATGATCCATAAACAAAGTGCTGTAAGCAGACTCGGTGCACTGCTCGCGATTCCATCTGGGGCTGGCACACCTTGCGTCTGTCCTACTGAAGCCAGTGTTGTGCAATCGGTCAGCAGCCGCCTGCTTCTAAGCAGGAGACGTGTGCGTGTGGGACAAGCCCCAATCCCGCCGCAGAGGTGCCCTTGCTGCCCCTCGAGGTTCTGTCCTCAAAACAATCCCTGACTGTGACAGCCCCGCAGGAGAGCAGGAGCTCCCCCAATGTAACAGTTGCTCTGTTCCCCCACGGGGAGACCTGACTCTGGGCAGACAGCAGGCTCAAAGCCTAGGCACCTCTTGCACCTATCGGATAGAAACTCTGCTTCGAGGGACCCTCTCTTCCACTGGGTTTGGGCAGCCCCATGCCCACTGCAGGCACCCACTGCAATCAAAATAGATACGGTCTGGGTTAGACCCACAGACTAACATGGAGCACTACTGGAGGTGCCTCTTTCTGACAAGAGGTGAAACCACGACCCTGGTCTCTTGTGTTCATTACAGACCTGGTGGCAATTCTTACACGAACCTGGTGTCCTGGACAAATTCTAATGTGGGTGATTGTAACATGCCTCCCTAGATCACCCTCTGCGTTTTCACTTAGACACCGTATTCTTCACTTCCTGTCCTGAAGTGATACGCAGCCCTGCGGTGAGCTGTAAATCAGCTGCTGTGCTCCACCTCAGAGGTGGCTGCATTCCAGTGCTGATTGAAATGATTGCCACATGACCTGTATTGTACTCCCCAAGAGGGATGTGAGGCGGCAGTAGATAAAGTGCTTTGAGATCCTGAGGTGGAAGATTCCATAGGAATTAATCAATGATTATTAATTATTATTAATAATATACCTGGCTCATTCTACAGCTCTGGCATGTGGACAGACCTCAGCAGTGTCCATTCCCCTCACCTACCACAGCTTCACAAAGAATTCAGGAAGCAATGAAAATGCTACCAGAGAGGTCAGTTGGCTACATTAAAAACTCCCCAACATCCAGTGTCATTAGGCACCGTCTGGATGGAAATGTGCCTCTGGGGACAGTGATTTGCCATAGCCTCAGAGCTCAGGGCTGGCCTTTCCTGGCCACAGCTACACAGTGCGGGCAGGTTATCAGGATGCAAGAGAGGTCAGGGTGTCCCACCTAGCAGGATGTGGGACTAGTGCAACTGGACTGCGGTTTGGAGCCTGGTGGGCGATTCCTGGCTGCTGACAGTGGATTGATAGCACAACTGACAGGAAACACTGGGAGCGGATTCAGGATGTAGGAATAAGGGGAATGAGCAGACGTCCCTGTAGTTACAGCAAAGGCTGCAGGGAATCCAGAGATGGAGCGAGGGACTTAGCCAGCAGTCCAATGTAGCTCTGAATGCCGGCGTGAGCACCCGGGCCGGCGGTGCCTGCAAACCTGGAGGACTTCGCTGCAGCCAGCGAGCATCTGGCAAGCTGGAATCGAGGCCTCTCCCCTTTCTCCCATAGACCTCCAAGGGGTCAGGAAGGCTGCTTGTTAATGGCTGTCTGGCTACTGAGTGCCTGTAGTCACGCCACCTTGTGTTGTGAGCCTGTCAACTCTGGCAAGCTAAGTCGGGTCAGGCTGGCTCAGTGCTTGAACTGGAAACATCTAATGGTGGTGCTGATGTGCCTGATAGGACTGTGCTTGGGGCAGGAGTTCTGGCTGCTGATTGGATGGAAGCCATTTCGGATATCCAAATGGGAAATGCTAAAGAACCTTCCAAACCTCTAGTAACCCCGCTGCTGTTCGCTCACCTGCCCCACTGTACAAAGGCACCACGCAGCCCCTGTTCAGCCTCAAATGATGCAGCTGCCCTGCCCTAAAGTGCGCAGTTGTCTCCAAATGAGTCAATGGGCCCCCTTCCCCTTCCATTCAGCAGACCCAGGAGGCTGTATAGGTCACTACACCCAGCACTGACATGCAGCCCCCTCTGGGGCAGGAGAAGGCTGTTTCGGAGAGAAAAATCATTGTAAATAGCTAGATAAACCGCTGAGGAACCAGCACTTGGGTTTGAAATGTGTCTAGATGTGACCCCATCAAGGACACAACACCCTCTTCTCTTGAATCCATAAGAACATAAGAACGGCCGTACTGGGTCAGACCAAAGGTCCATCTAGCCCAGTATCCTGTCTACCGACAGTGGCCAATGCCAGGTGCCCCAGAGGGAGTGAACCTAACAGGTAATGATCAAGTGACCTCTCTCCTGCCATCCATCTCCACCCTCTGACAAACAGAGTCTAGGGACACCAGTTCTCACCCATCCTGGCTAATAGCCATTAATGGACTTAAATACCAGGTGTAACCCTGCTAACATGCAGCAGGGAGTCTACCCGGAGGGCATGGCGGCTCCAAACACATGGTGTCTGCTGCTCTCAGCCTGTGGGGCATGATCTCCCTGGGGTGGGAGGGTGTCCCAGCCTCCAGGCGTGCTTCACCACACAGATCCACTGGGCATTTGACCCCACCACACTGACCCACTGTCGCCAATTATTTTGAATTTCCTTGCCCAGCGCTGGGCTGACAGTCCCAGCTGGAGAGGAAATGTGACATAATACTAGCCATGAAACTGACAAGAATGTCAATTCCACTGCTGGTAGGCTCCCTGCTGTGAAACTGAGCCCCTCCCTGGGCTCACAGCTGTGTTCCCTGTGCAGCTCTCAGTGCCTTGCACTATACTAAGGGGGAGGGGGGAGGGAAGTGTGTGCTGCAAACCTCAATGTAGGCAAAACTGGACTGTGCACAGTAAGCTAATGAAAATCAAACCTGCCGTGGAAGCCTCATATGGCAGGATCTGCAATGTCCACAATATTGCAAATGAAGTAGGGCTTTCTTCCACTTAGGAAGAAACAATCAGTTTCACACATACAGAATGGGAAGAGACTGTCTAGGAAGGAGTACGGCAGAAAGGGATCTAGGGGTTCTAGTGGACCACAAGCTAAATATGAGTCAACAGTGTTTGTGGCAAAAAAAGCAAACATGATTCTGGGATGTATTAACAGGTGTGTTGTGAGCAAGACACGAGAAGTCATTCTTCCGCTCTACTCTGCTCTGGTTAGGCCTCAGCTGGAGTATTGTGTCCAGTTCTGGGCACCGCATTTCAAGAAAGATGTGGAGAAATTGGAAAGGGTCCAGAGAAGAGCAACAAGAATGATTAAAGGTCTTGAGAACATGACCTATGAAGGAAGGCTGAAAGAATTGGGTTTGTTTAGTTTGGAAAAGAGAAGACTGAGAGGGGACATGATAGCAGTTTTCAGGTATCTAAAAGGGTGCCATAAGGAGGAGGGAGAAAACTTGTTCACCTTAGCCTCTGAGGATAGAACAAGAAGCAATGGGCTTAAACTGCAGCAAGGGAGGTCTAGGTTGGACATTAGGAAAAAGTTCCTAACTGTCAGGGTGGTTAAACACTGGAATAAATTGCCTAGGGAGGTTGTGGAATCTCCATCTCTGGAGATATTTAAGAGTAGGTTAGATAAATGTCTATCAGGGATGGTCTAGACAGTATTTGGTCCTGCCATGCGGGCAGGGGACTGGACTCGATGACCTCTCGAGGTCCCTTCCAGTCCTAGAATCTATGAATCTATGAATCTATGAATTGTAGGCTCTAAAGTTTTACATTGTTTTGTTTTTGAGTGCAGTTATGTAACAAAAAAAATCTACGTTTGTAAGTTGCACTTTCACGATAAAGAGATTGCGCTACAGTACTTGTATGAGGTGAACTGAAAAATACTATTTCTTTTGTTTATAATTTTTACATTGCAAATATTTGTAATACAAATAATATAAAGTGAGCACTGTACACTTTGTTTTCTGTGTTGTAATTGCAATCAATATATTTGAAAATGTAGAAAAACACCCAAAATATTTAATAAATTTCAATTGGTATTTTATTGTTTAACCGTGCGATTAAAACTGCGATTAATCGCGATTAATTTTTTTAATCATGATTAATTTTTTTAAGTTAATCGCGTGATTTAACCGCGATTAATCGACAGCCCTAATTGTTACCCTTCCATGCTACCCCATGTGTACATCACATGACCACAGTGACGCGCATTTCCTGTCCTTCCTGGCCCTGAACTGCACACAAAGCTACACACAGAGCCACAGCTAATAATAATAGTCACAGTTCAGGGCAACTGCACCTGCATTCCCCATCCGTGGCCCACCAAGGGCATCCACTGTAGGCTCCAGGCTCCCAGTCATCACCTCTCTTGGTGAAAGACCCGCATCTCACTCACTCCTGCCTGGGGTTTTAAGGCTACACAACTCCCTGGGTTACATTGCAATGTCCCCAGCAAACCAGACCAGCTAAACAGTCCAGAGCCTGTGCCTTGCTTTCTTTCCAAAGGCTATGATCAGTGTGTTGTCTGCAGTTATAAGGTGTTGCCCACAGTTGAGTTATCTCACAACTCCTTCTAAGCAAGTACGTTTATTCTGAAGGTAAAAGCATTACAGAGACAATGTTTTAAAACAATCAAAGAACCTACACGCCAGAGAACACCCATTGGGGCCCTGTCAACACGCATCCTCCCCTCGAGGGAACTCCCTCCTGCTCGGACACAGCATTGCAGGGGACTTTGCATCACCTCCCCTCTGGAGGCCACTTTCTCAGCCATAATGTCCAGCCCCAGCCAGTCTCTTCTCTGGACTCTCTCACTGGGTCTCCTGTGGCTCCACCCTCCGGCCAAGTGACAACACTTCAGTCCCCTTCCGGGGTTCAGCTCTAAGCCAAAGGTCCTTCACCACCACCACCCCAGGCTTTTCCCTGCTGGCCTTCTGCCCCCCTTCTGTCTCATTCCCTGGCCCTTGCAGGGCCTAGGTAAGGCTTTCTCCGCTATAGGGCCCCACCACAGGAGGTGACCCTGCTCCTGTAGCTCTGCCCTCTGGCCACAGCCAATCCCAATGAATGGACCTGCTTTCATGCCTTTCCCAGGGAGAGGGAGCTCCCCAGAGCTCCTCTCTCCTGGGTCTTTTCCCCTCAACCACTCTGCTCAGTTGCTTATACAACCCAGCTCCACCTCCTCTGGCCAGGTCATTAGTTAATCACCTCCCAGGTGCGGAGCATAACTAAGTAGGTTCTTTCCCTTGCTTTACAGGAAATGGGGTTAAGCCCATCGCAGGCCTAGTAGGGCGAGGCCTTCCAACCCTTCCCCAAGGATGGGGTCCCCCTTGGACAGGAGGTCCTGCCCACTCGCTGGAGCAGAAAGCAGGCCCTGAGTCAGTTTAAACTCAGGCTATTTATCCCAAAGGCCTTTCTTTGTCTGTTGGTGTCTGGAGAACCCAGTCTAGGGAGCCTCTCCAGGAGGGGTGGACCTCTCGAGGGGTCACAACCTGGCTGGCTTGCCTTGATCACCTCCCACTGGTTTTAGTCCCTGGAGGAGCTGTGGTCCCCCTCCCCCATGGAGTAGACGCTGGCAGACACCTGGGTGGGGCTAATAGCACAGAGGGTAATTTTGAGCTGCCCCAGAGCTGTCTGAGGAGCCGGTGGTGATGAGGCATTTCCCTGCACGCTGTAACCTCTCTCCCTTCCCCAGGTGTTCGTGCAGCCGGCTAACGTGGCGGTCACCAAGATGGACGTCAATAACCTGGCCATGGTGATGGCCCCCAACTGCCTGCGCTGCCAGTCCGATGACCCGCGAATCATCTTCGAGAACACCAGGAAGGAAATGTCCTTCATCCGGGTGCTGATCCAGCACCTGGACACCAGCTTCATGGAGGGGGTCCTATAGCGGCGAGCAGGGGGAGGAGCCAAAACCAAATCTGACGACGACCACAACCCACCCAACCCCCAGGTCAATCAGCCGACGAGTGCGAGCCAGACACCGCCAAGGGAAGGACAGGGCAGCCCTGGGCAGGGCCTCTCGTCCCCGTCACACCGTGTCCCCAGCGCCATGTCGACCTGGCCTAGTCCCGCCTCTCTCGCCCCAGCATCTCTCGTCATCCTTTGCCCTCTAGTGTCATACAGGAAGTGGTGGCGGGATCCCGCCAGTGCTACTGGCCAAGCGACAGCCGCCCTCCCCTGAACCAGACCTCTGGAGATGTCGCTGCCCATTCCCCCAGCCAAGCCGCCATGGAGCAGCCTGCAGGGTTAGCCTGGCATGGCGGCCACCTGCAGGTGAGGCTCAGGAGTCCTGCCCGGCGTCCTGGGCCTGCAGCCACTATGGGGATGTGGGATGCCGGGCCTTGCCCCCGCTCTCTCGCAGACAGGCGTCCAGGAGAGCCACTCCCAGCACGCCACGTGCTTCCTAGGGGAGGGGGGCGTTTAAGATGGCAGCGTGGATGGAGGGGGAGATCAGAATAAGCCAGCGAGCATCACCAAGGCCTCCCAATGCTCCTGCCCTGGGGCCAGCGCTGGCTGGGAGGGTGGGTAGGACAGTCTCCAGGCAGGGACCGCAGAGTGGGTATTTGCAGCAGTCCCACCCAGCCTGGGAGCTAGGGGATATCTGGCGGGAACATTCATGTGGAATAAGGTATGGATCTGTCTGGTAGGATAAAACCCCTTGGTAGGAAGGGGTCTAAGCCCCATGCAGGCCCCATCAGCCCAGCCCCCCAGTGAGAAGAGGGACCCCTTTATGGCAGGAGGAGGGGGCCAAAACCAACTCCAAGTTCTCAGGGCAAAGCTTGTGGTCAGGCGTCTCCGTGACCCAGAGCCGTTTGCAGCCGGTGATGTCACTTCCCCTTCCTTTCCTCCTCTTCATCAGCTGCTTGTAAGCCCAGATCTGATGGCAGCGTCTGTTGAGAGGGGCTGGGAGGGCGGGTTGTCGACTGAGCAGTGATTGATTCTCAAACCCTGAGACCTACCAGCCCTTTCTAGACAGGATCTCTACGCCTTGAACGTAACCCCCCGCGGGGAGGCTCAGGGCAGGGCAGAAAGCTATGACTCTGCAGCTGTTTTGTCCTGGTGTTCGATTCACGCTCCCGGGTGCTGCCTGGGCTCCCGTTCCAGAGCAGGACAGCCAGGAGGGGCCGGGCTTCATTTGCCATTTGGGCTGCGGCTGGCGCAGGGCTCGGCTACGTCTCAGCAAACCCACAACCCGAGCTAGAAGGGGATTGTCCCCGGCTTTTCCTGACTCCCCTCAGCAGTGAGCCGTCTCTGCCTGCCCTAGAGAGGGCGACAGTGCCTAGCCCGAGCCGGCAGAGGGTGTGTGTCCCATCGGCTCCACCTGCAGACGATGGATTTAACCATCAGCCAGGGATAGAAGAATGACCATCCTGTGTATGGGTAGGGCGAGTTCACTTCCGGGGTATTTTGCCCATGTGGCCCATGCATCAGCAATAACTCCATCGCTGATTTCCAAGACAACATCTGCTCGGTCTCAACCCAGACAAGGCTGGCGCTGGCCGGCGCTGCGTGCGGCAGGTCAGGCCCCAGCTCGCTGGGCCCCAGCTCCATCAGCTCAGCCCTGCGGAGGGGAGTTGTTTTGAGCAGGGCGCCATTGGAAGAGACGTGCTGTCGGGAGTGGGTGTGGAGAGTGCCAAGGAGCTGGTGTCACAGCAGCACCCGGCGTGCCAAACCCTTCCACTGTAGCAATCTCCCGCCTGGGCCGTGTCAGGGCTGTATTCTGCCGCAACAACCAGGGCAAGGAGGCTGCCGTGCTGAACCATGGCAAAGAGCAAGGCCTTTAAAGCACTATTGGTGGAGGTGCTGGCTCCTGAAGGCAGAGAGAGACCGAGGGGTTCTCTCCTGCTGTCAGACAATGAAAATTTCGGTCAAGCTTGTGAAAATCCCACCTGGCAACACGTTCTGGATGGCCCTTGGCATCAGCCCCAGCGAGGCGTCGTGGGCTTCGGGATCACCGGCTCAGAGGGCTCTGGGACCCAAGGCGGAGCTGAAGTCATCAGCAGTGCCAGTTTTCTCTCTTCCTTGCCGTCTGGAGGGTCTCCAAGGCTGATGGCTGCCGTTGCTCTGTGGGAGCTGGGAGGCTGGTGGGAAACGGTTACAATCCAGCTAGTTCCCTCCCCTCGAGGGGCTCTCCTTGGGACAGTCAGGACCGATGCAGGCTGGACTCGGGGCTCTGAAAGTAGCCCTGGCGTCTCCGCCTCCCCATCTGACAGGGGCAAAATCCCTTCTTGTCGAGCCGCCTGGCGAGTCTGAAATGCCCACCTGAGCCCCAGCATCTCCACGCTCCGGTGCCTTCTGCAGTCGGCCCGTTGCCCAGCTGCCACCCCCAGGCCTGCGCTCGAGCAGATATCCAGCTCTATCCGCCTTGACCTGAGGCCGGTTCCCTCCTAAGGGTCTGTTGGCCTTTAGAGTTCACATGTATTAAAATGGAGTCCAGCTCAGGACGCAACCAAACCTGCCCCTGAGCAGCCCGGTGGTGGCCCTGGGCTGTGTCTCTGGCTCTGCAGTGCACCGTCCCATCTCCCTGTTTTTATAGCGCTCCCCAGTTTAACCCTGAGCTCCTGGCTCGTGCCCCCCACCCCCTGCAGGAGAGTTAACCTCTTGGGTGCTGGCGCTCAGGCAGGGACCCTGTGCCCTACCACCTAGGTTTACATTCCTCCACGTTAACTCTCTTCTCCTCAGCCTCTCTCCCAGCTCTGCTCTTTAACCCACAGCCCTGCTTCCGTGGGATCTCAGCGGAGGAACTGGGTTTTCTGTCTGACCTCTGTTTGCTTGATGATTCCTGTTAATGCTGGGAATCAGACTCTTGGCAGCAGCAAGACAGTGTGTGTGTGTGTGTGTGAGAGAGAGAGAGAGAGAGACCGACCTGCATTCCTTCTGCTAGCCACAAGGATTTCACTTCACAGTGCCAAGGGACCTCTACCTCCTGGGGGACCCATCCAGTGACAGGTCCCCCACGCTGGATTCCTCCTCAGCCTCTGTGTCCCGATCAGCTCGGTTCAGCATTCAGCTGGGATGGTTCCCCCATCTCACCCCGCACAGCCGGAGCATGGACAGCCCAAGTCTGAGCCCACAGACCCCTCCTGCCTCGCTGAGACCTTGTTTTCATCTCACACTGCCATCAGTCTGTGGCAGGCAGCGGGGTCCTCGGTGCTGCTCAGCCCGTGGCAGCGTGCAATGGCTGGGTGCCCCAGCAGCAGGCGCTCTAGGGAGCCGTGAGCTCACCGACACGCCAGCCGTGCAGTGTCCTCAGCCACACTCCAAAACATCCTTGTGGCTCACCAGGAGAGAAAATTGCAAAGGGTCCTGGGCGGAGAGCCCCATCCCCCACCCGAGGGGTCTCTGCAGAGCCCCAGAGAGTCTGGCTGAGTGTCTATACCTTGGATGTCAGGTTGATGCCAAAGCCCTGGATGCGAGGAGCAGAGTGCAGTGCATACCCGCTGTGCGTCCCACGGCGCTGGGGTGCGTCAAGGGCCTCTGGCCTGTCTTCTGTGGCTCCCACCCCCACAGGAACAACGGGCTGCTCTCTGGGACCGAAACTGCTGTGTAGAGGTAGCGCACAGCACCGGTGGGGCCAGTCACACATGGTCGGGCAGGAGAGTCCAGCCGGGATTGTCCTGTCCTCCCTGCCAAGCTGGGAACATCCCCCTCTCCGGGACAGGGAAGGAGCGACCCCTGCTGTTAGAGACAGGCTGGGCTTGAACAGGGTCAGGCCACAGAAGCAAGAAGTCAGATCTAGCCGTCCGTCATCTCGGGTATTTCTCATGTGCTGTCACTGTGTGACTAAGTGCCAAGAACACGCAATAGCGTAGCGCTAACATTGTCCACTGGGCCCTCACTCGTCATTCTCCAGGATTCATTCACTGATACGATAAATCTTTCTTTTCCTTCTCTCTCCTCCTCCTCGTCACCTGGCCACGAAGAAGGCTTCTCATTGAGTGTCAAACACGCTCAGGATTGGGCTGGCTCTCCTGTGGTGAGGAGTTCCACAGTCCGCCAAGGAGGCTGTGCCCAAAGACCGGCAGTTCTTCCAGCCTGGAGGAGGGGCCTCATGTCACACTGCTTCCTGGCTGGCAGCTTTGAGCTTCTGGTTAGTTACTTCCCTACAGCCTCCTTGGGGAAGGGAGTCCCTGGGAACTCGCCAGCAGCTGGGCTGATAAGAGATTAACCCCTTGGTGTTTTCACTGCTTCCCACCAGTCCCTCCCTCCAGCCTTTCTCGGAGAAAGGGAAAGAGACAGCCAAACCATCTCAGCCAGCCTGTTCCTCAGAGAGATGATGGGCATCAGGGAACCTGCTGGGGGAGGGACGGGGTCCAACCCCATGCACATGAACCCCACAGCCTTGGACGATGGCAGGGACAGGTGTGCCGAGCTGGAGCCCAGACGCGCCGTGATTCCCTCCATGCAGCTACAAAGAGCAAGTGCCTTCAGCTCCCCGAGAGAGCCGGCCCCAGCAGCAAACGCCCTCCCTGCCCACACACCTGCCGGGAAAGGAGCGAGAGACACAGGTGCTGTGAGGAGTCTGAGCAGCCCAGCAGTGGCTGGTGCTTTTGTCCTCGGTCTCGGTGCGGTCCCAGACCCTCCTGGAGAACAGTCTGTTCTGCCTCTGGGACGGATTAACTAACCCCTTTTGTGTCTCCAACCTTCCCTGATTCCTCGCGGCCCCCCCCCGATCTCAGCTGGGGTCTCTTTGGCCTGGGCTTCTCTTGTCCAGTCCGACAGTGAGATTTCATCCCCTCCTACCTGAACGGTTTTTCTTGCCACTCACGTGGACGCGTTGCCAGCGGATGTGTTCCAGCCATTTGCCGGAGCCCAGGCAGTGCTGAGCCCCACTAGCCCCCGCCAGAGAGGAAAGGAGCGGAAAGCTCCCTGCACCTTGCTGGAGGAAACCCAGGGGTGCTGTACCCAGCTCAACAAGAGCTTTCAGGTGTGTCCCTGCCAGTCCCAGGGAGTGGTTCCCTGGACGCCAGTGGGCTGTTCCCAGGAGTGAGGAGTGCAGGGTCATCCCAAGGGGGAGTGCCCCCACCCCGGCTCCCAGGGTGCTGCTAGCTGGGGTGACTTGGCCATTCCCCATACTGGGCTGGGTCAGTGCTAGCAGCACTTTAACAATGTGCTCAGCCATTTCCGCCCCCCAGGACTTGGAATGAGAAGTGGATTTCACTGGGCTGGGCCTGGACAAACCCTCTCAGCTGTGTGACCGATCCGTACCCTGGGGAGCCTCTGCTCAGTTATGCCCCCGACCTGCCATGTCTGGCCTGTTTCCCTAGGTCCACATGGCAATTAAAAACCTACAGCTGGCCCGGGCCAGCTGCCTCGGGCTTGCGGGGCTTGGGCTAAGGGGCTGTTTCACTGCGGTGTAGACGTCCAGGCTGGGGACCCTGCAAGGCGGGAGGGTCCCAGAGCCCGGGCTCCAGCCTGAGCACGAACATTTACATCACAATTAAACAGCCCCTTCCCCTTAGCCCGAGCCTCACGAGCCAGAGTCAGCAATTGTCTGACTGCAGTGTAGACAAACCCTCGGTGACTCTGGCTGCTTGTAGGCCTTGTAAATACTTCTAAGGGCTGTAACCAGGTAACCATTCAGATAAGCTCCAGCTGCTGCAACAGACCAAAGGGGGGAGGCGAAGGGTCCTTCCCACTTACTTTCCTGTTAACAAGTCATCTGATGGCTTCAGCAGGGGAAATTCCCCTCCGAGAGTCATGGTTCTCCCCACAGAGGTCCTGATCCTTGAGGGAGGCTGGTGGGCTTTCTGACCAGGTCTCCTGTAACTCTCCTGAACCCAGTGGCATTAAACCCGAGGGCCAGGGCAGCGTGAGAGAGCAGGGTCAGTCATTTGACCTGTGACTGTGACTGTTTCCCCGAGCCCTCCTGCAAAGTCCATGGAGAATGTGTCCCCAAAGATGTTGCAGGATGCAGGGCCCCAGACTCTTGCTGCAGGAGCGGGAGCTGTCAGCAGGGGGTGCAGCGGCAACACGATGGAAGGCTTGTGTGTCAGGGTTTCAACCTGTTGCAGCAGCCTGGTCTTAGAGCCAGGGTGAGCAATGAATCCGCTTTTGCACTTCCCAAAGCAACAGCCGACGTTGCCCACGGCAGGCTCCAGGAGAAGGGCATTAGGAGAGCTGCTTCCTCGCACCTGGGAGGGACACTCATTTGGCTGGTGCTCGTTCGTTCTGCCCTCTTTCAGTGGCCCGGTGACGCAGGCAGCAGCCCCAGGCTGCAGTGGGAGTGGTGCTTAATCAGTGCCTGTACTGGATCCAAAAGCAAAAATGGTGGAGGACCCAGACCAGCTCCCATCTGGCTGGGCAAGCCGCCTTTCAGGACCCAGCAACGCTGCTGCTCCTGGGCCCGGCCCCGTGAGCTGTCAAGGGCCCTCAGCTCCCATGACGTCAGTAGGAGGTTAGGACCCTCGGCCCTTCTCAGGATTGGACCCTCAATCAGCAGAAACCCAGCTCTTGTGTGGACTCACCTAGAGACGCCTGCTCATCCTCTGGAGATTGCAGTCTGGATGTACAGTGCTAGTGGAGACGAGGCTGGTCGAGGTCGGCCCGACACCCCAGCTGGGGTTTCTGGGTGTAAGTGGTACCCTGTGTCCCCTCTTTCACCAGTAGAACTTACAAATGGAAGGGGCCTCCCAGACCATCTAATCCGTCCCCCCAGCAGCACAGGGAGGGCAAGATTCTAGAAGCACGGTCTAGAGTCGCTCCAGCAACGGGACCAAGAGCGATGGAGAGGGAGAGATTATTTTTATTTAGTGCGTTCCTGTAAAGCTGGAATGTTACGGCGCATCCCAGGCCAGTCAGATTATATAGAGAGCTATAAAGAGAGAGAGATATACATAGTAAAAATCGCTAATGACATAGTTTTAAATCCAGATGCTATTTATCTTTAGAGCCATTGTCTGTCGCCCTTTCATTGCACAAGAATTAGCTTTTGTCCCAGTTCCATTGCAGGGTTTCTTCATGGCTTCTGACCAAAAAATACTCCTCCTCTTCCCCCTGCGTCCTGTAGAGAAAGGCCCTTCGGCGGTTCCCTTAGGGACAGGACCTTCTGCGGCACTGACTCCACTCAGTCGAGGGCAGAGGCCGCCTAGTCATTCCCAGGCTAGTTGCCGCAGGATCAGTCAAGAAGGCAAAAGTGGAACGTTAGAGTCCCCCAGCAGCGAGATGCTGGCAGTTCATTGCTGGGCGCTGGTCTAAGAGCCATCTCTACCAAGCAGCTGATTGAGTCTCTGCTGCTCCCCCAGGCGGGGTTAACTGTCAAGGCTCAGTGCCCATCGGGTTGTTTCTGGCACTGAATTCTCCCCTCTGGCTGGTTCACTGCACAAGTTCCACACCTCGCCCAGGGCCAGATCCTGCCCCTGGGAACCTGAGCGCCTCTCCCTGGGTCTTCCTGACAGAGCAGCTGGTAGGCTCCTCACTTGCCTTGGAAGCGGCTGAGGAGGTGCTGTTGGGTGGAAGCCTCCGGGACCCAGTGCCTGCTGTCTCTGCTCTTGAAGCCCGTCGGAGATGCGCTAGTGTAGCAAGAGCATCACTGGGCCCGTGCAGGATTCTGATCTTGGCGAATCCGGAGAGATCTCCCCTACATAGAGATCAGAAGCTGGCCCTTGAGTCTCCAGCCAGGGCTGGGAGCCCCTTCTCCCCGGGGGCTACACCTTCCCACAGGTACCAAAACCTAGGGGAACGTGGCTCTTTCAAGGGACATTGTCAGGGCGTTTTGGCCAAAAACACAGGCTGTGTTACAGAAATGGTCTGACCACCAGGCAGCAGTGGGGAAGGGTTCATGAAATCTGCCTTGTCAACATTCAAAATGGGAT